TATAGGACTACATTTGTTGAGAGCTAATACTACACGATGTATTATCATGTCCTTTATTCGAACACTCTACCTTTCTTTGATGATTTATATACATAAAGATAAAATTATATTATATATATATATATTGCCTATGTTTTATATATACATCATATACAAGCACTTCAGCTTCTTTCTGGTCACTAAGTTTAATCATGGATACTATCATGGTGATCCCCATATAGAGGTAATGACAAATTATTATGAGCTCGACATCCGTGTTCAGTCAGGCCTAAAACCAGAAATAATACTGGTAAATGTAGAAAGCAAGAGTTAGAAATACAGGGTCACATACAGGATTGCCATTGATTGGGGAACTGGACAACCTGGTTATGGGGCTTAGAATCCCTAGCGGGGTCGTCAAGGGAAAGAGCTGATTGGATCGCAGTTTCTGGTATCGTATGTTATTCAAGAGCCCTTTATCATCCACTTGGGTGGGGGGTGGTTGTCTACGCCCTCCAAAGAAGTCGTGTGTGCTTTTTCACTGGAAGCTCTGGGGCACTGCAGCCATTTAAGAAGTGGAACGGTTAACTTGGACGACTATGAAGCACAATTTTTATCATCTATTCTACAACATTTAGGCGCTTATATACATATCCTCAAAGTAATAAACAAGTTTTCGTTGAGTTATATATATCCTATGCATTTATTTTATTATCACATGTCCACTCCATAAGCCTCGTAATAAAATTAATTTAATGCATCACATTATACTCATTTTCTTAAGAAACCTTCTATCATAAGCCGGAAGGGTCACCTTCTATATGGTATAAAGAAATTATCAATGAAAAATCATCATAAGCTATTAATAAACATCTAATTTTATGATGACCAATATCAGAAGTACTGTAGTCTCCTTATTTTATGAAATTACATACCGGTACTTATTATTTTCTTCTTATACTGGTTATCCTGTACAAGAGTTACTATAGACTAGCCCTACACAGGGCCCAGTTACAGTAGAACCCCTCCTTTAGGACACCCTATTCATGAGACACCCCTATTAAGGCGACACTTTTCAGTAAAAGGAGGGGCAATATATCTTTTAACACTACAATCAACCCCTATAATTAAGGTGTGATGGCGACACTTTCTGAGTGTGCAAAATGGTAAATCAATAAAATTTAACCCTTATTAAGGGACACTTATTTTGTATCAAAACAACTACAGTAGTCTCAAAATAAGGGAAAAAAATCAAAACTTAAAACATTAAGCAAATGAAAAAAAAAGTAATCAGAAAAAAAATAAAGCTTAAGTTTAAAAGAGTAGGCCTGTACAACTTTTGTAGTTTTAATTACGTATCAGTTGGTTTCTTATCATAAATGATATATTTTAGGCACTGGGAATTATTATTATAACTCAACTGTAACTCAATCTTAGGTCAATTAAAATGAAATTATAAAGAATGTCATCATTGTACAAAAACATGCCAAAACCCCTATTAAGGGACAATTTCACGTTTTTTTGGTTAGTGTCCCCCGAAATATGGGTACCCTATTAAGAGGACAATTTTTTTGGTCCCGAAGGTGTCCCCTTAATATTAGTCTACTCTATGCGTTTCAATATCATTATGATACCGGGTACTAAAAATGGAGTGGATCTGTTTTATTAGTCGTGAGAAAAAATCCTGCTGTCATTGGAATTCAACCCAGGACCCTGGTTGGAAGGCAAGCATCTTATCCATTAACCATTTCCTTGGTAGGAATGTCTTACCTTGACTTACTGAAAGAATTCCATCTGGATCACAAATCCATGTTTCATTGATATCATTAGGCCTTCCACATCGGTGTAGCTCGCTGAATATATTCGGATACTGCTCCTGGCTCCAACCCCTGATATCTGCAGCAACTTGCACAAGACAAACAAACAGTAAATTTATAATAACAGTGTTATATCGCATAGCCGGTTCGTTACGACCGTTCGACAAAATAGGTCGTTTTTTTTTTATAAGATATAGCGTTTATGGTTGTCTCCAATAGAATTATGAAAACTGTACACAAAGTGAACCTCTCGTAACATTTCAAGCCTTTTTTTTTCACCTGTTAAACCTACAAAGCCAGCAAGTAGAAATAGTCTCCGTTTCGCTTGAGATTATGCACTATCGGAGTGTTGACATTAATAAACAAGATCCTAGGTAATCCGGTGTTATTGTGTTCGTACCCGGAACCCGGCAGCACATTACGTATTAAGCATTATTCTCATACTCTACCTATAGCCAGCTGTTCATCAATAAAGTTGAAAAACTGTTGAATAAAAACGTAATTGCAGGCTATCGTTGCGAATCGGCAAATCCAAATGCATTGCAAGATGAAGCTCTAGTAATGACAATTAAGTGATCTACATGATCAAACGCTAAATCCTCAATTCGCCCGTTCATTTCCTTACATCGAAACCTCGACTGTGTATTGTATGAATCTAATACTATCGATATTAATGTAAACATTATTTGTTCACCCAAGCCTGGAGGGGGCGTATTCACTTCCGTACAAAATGCTATTCTAATAAACTGATTAAAAACGTATCATCTGCTTTGAACTATTCATTGACAGTATTCGTCTAGCCATATTTGGCAATCGAAATCACGGGAAGGTGTGCTTAATATTAGCGCTAATAATCTAGTTGTAGGCTGTGAGCTAAGAAACTGATCTCACAACAATATGGATATAAATCTGGCCGAAGACACTAATAAGCGTGGAATATTAGCTGTCATTTTTATGCGACATTCTTTCCAAAGACTCAAATCCTCATTTGTGACGGCAACTTGATCTCCAGTTCCAATACTACTAATTGATAATTTATGTCGCCATTAAAACCACATGATTTTTTTTTTCAGCCAATAATACTTTTTCTACTCCATTAGCAGATAATCACCGAATTAATTCGTTTCCTCATCCAGTAATTTGGTGAATTTGTTAATCATGATCTAGGGTGCTATATATTCAACATAATCGACGTATTGGAGCACACGCAGACATGAATTGTGTGAAATCTTGCCAACTGAAAATTAAGAAAAAAAAAACCTAAAAAAAAAAAAAATTGTTGGTTCCCTACAAATTGCATCACAAAAGTTATCAGAATTTGAATTAAGTTACGTATTAAATATATACTGCTCAATGAATGCAGAATCAAAATAAAAGCAATTTCTTGCTTGGTAATTATTTATTGATTATCATCTTTTAAGTAAAATATTAGAACGAAAAAGTTGTTTTTTTTCATTCTACATTCCATTTGATAGTTAATAACTTAAATAGTCAGAAAACTCACCTCCCAAAGTCCAACAAAGTATCTACTTCATTGCACAGTTTTGTTGCCGTAGAACATCAACCCACTATAATTTATGTTAGGAAAGATTAGTAGTCCATAGGAAGGAAATACAAAATGGAAGTGTTGTGTTTCTTTATTCACCTACAGAAACTCGCATAAGGTAGCGAAATAATCAAATATGATTCCAAAAAGTGCTACTACGACTACGGTACTGTGTCCACAAACGAACTTCTATGACAACTAAGTATGGGTACTTTATGTTAAATTTGCTGTAATGGGGTAATCCGCCTTTGGTGATCCCCAATACGTAAATATTGCAAAGAAGCAAATAGAAGTTATCGATTTGTATGTATGCATGCGATATTTATCTGTATGTGCGTTCACTCTAATATTGTATGGTTATTGAGCTGTTTATTTCACCGCTATTGTACCTGTCTCTTATACACATCTAGATGTGTATAAGAGACAGTGTCATGAGAAAATCTACCTTTGAAAAAGCTTTACCCTTGCCATTGACTCCCATAGAATTGTGTATATTTTATTTATAGATCACCAACCATTATCTCGGATAGGCCACCCTCAACGGATCCCCAAAGAGTCACATCAAATCAAGTGGTTCTTCAGTCAGTATAAATATTTCTATCATTGTAGCATTGAAGAAATAAATCATTATGATTATATCAACTTCATTTACAAATTTTTATAATTTGATACAATTTCTGTTAGGCCTGCAGTCTTGCGATTAGTGATGTTGAACATTATATAAAAATATACGTAAAAAAATATTAAGTTTGAATGTGACACTTGTCGTGTTCTTTTTTTTTCATGGTGGCCTATAAGATTTTTGAAACGCCTACAACGAACGAAAAAACAGTAAGAAACTAGTTTTTAGGTAGTTTTCGCCGCACGACGATGGCAACCTTAACGGATGACGTCATAATTTATTCATTTTGCGTTGCGGAGTACGTAAATTTCAGGATTTTACGTGCTCGCCGGCGTACGTTAGTTACGTATGCGTATTTCGATTTGTTTACAAAAACTACCTAACGTACGGTACTTCGCAACGCAAGATGAATAAATTATGACGTCATCCGTTAAAGTTAAGGTTACCGTCGCGCGGCGAAAACTGCCTTTTATTTGAATGTTTACTTTTAGGACAGTGTGTGGCACTCGTCAATTTAACATAATAACAGGAAACAGTGAATTCACTGTTCCCTGATAATACAGTAAATCCATGGAGATCATCATAATACCTCCATGTAAAACCACGCTCAACACAAAAATGTATGGTCAAAAAAGAAATCTCAAATTAAATATTATTTTTAAACAAAAAATACCAAATCATGTATATGTGTATATTATGTTAAAAACGGTAACTTTTCACAATTTGAGAAGAAATGGAGTTTGTCTAAATTATGTGTTGAGTTATTAAAATAAAAATCATCTTTTGTATGAGCTACAGTACCTGTATTATTGTAAATAGTAAAGAAAGTATTGTAATAAGTAAAAAAAAAAAAAAAAAAAAAAAAAAATTAAAACGACTTACACGACGTATCGCTGATACTCTATCAGCATTCTCAAGTGAACTGCAGAAGTTGTTACAGCTTGGTATGGATTTCTCTACCATATTACAGTACCTCGAATAGAAGCCCAATGGGCTTAATTTCGAGAAGCCCATCTCCAATTGAAGTCCCCCTATTTTAATTTGCCCAAAATAGCTTCGAAAAGCAGCCCTCTCGAAAGAAGCTCGTGGGCTTCTTCTCAAGATATTATGGGCTTCGTTTCGAGACTATGGCCAATGACAACTAAGTATGGGTACTTTATGTTAAATTTGCTGTAATGGGGTAATCCGCCTTTGGTGATCCCCAATACGTAAATATTGCAAAGAAGCAAATAGAAGTTATCGATTTGTATGTATGCATGCGATATTTATCTGTATGTGCGTTCACTCTAATATTGTATGGTTATTGAGCTGTTTATTTCACCGCTATTGTACCAAGCTAAATAACCAAGTATACAAAACAATGGTCAGACCAGTGGGACTGTACGGGGCTGAGACATGGGCCATCAAGGAATCGCAGGTGAAGAAGCTGGAAGTTGCGGAGATGAGGTGTTTAAGAGCAACCACTGGAGCTGTACACTGGAGGACCATATGAAGAATGAGATTCGAAAGGAAACCAAAGAGACATGTTTGGGAAGTCCAAGGGTGCAGATTGAGATGGCAGTACGGCGTGTAATGAGACGGGATGAGGTTGATATAAGATGGGCAGCAGAAAGAGTGGAAAATGAGAGCGGACCAAGAGGGAGACCCAGAAAGAGATGGATGGACTGCATCAGACAAGAAGGACACTTGGTGGACCTGGAAGCAGTAATTGAACGGAGGACAATATAAATGAGAAGACCCGGACAACGGCTTCAATGAGGGGACAAACGGGATGATGATGATTGTGATCAATATGTATATTACAAACAGTGGGTCGAGGTTCAATGAAAGTAAAGATATGTATGTATTTATGTGTGGGCGAATGGCTGTGTGTGTGTGTATAATGTATATATGTATACACAGCATTAACGACAGTCCTATGATTTGCAAAATAAACAAATACCATAATCATACAGTCTTTTCTTTTAATCTAAGACCAAAGACCTACAGATTAGGCCAAGATTAAACACTTTAGATTTTGTACATAGAATCTGCAAAAATAATACAGAATGTTATTATAATCTAATCATATATATACACACATTACAAATCAAAACAAGTTTTTTTTAAGAAGGATTTCGTCGAAATCCTCAAATTTACAGCCAGAAATGTGTAAAAAGGGTAAAAGCAAAATCTATTGAACAATGCCTCTAACATTATTGTTGTCTATATCATTTTCAATATAAAATAGACTTTTTCATAGCTTAAAAGAGGGCTATACAGTATATAAAAATACTATATATTCTCTACAACGCACCATATCACCAACATAAATTCTAGTAACCATTTTTTTTTATATCATAGCAACCGACTAAATGTCTACCAACAGAATACAGGACACTTTATTACAATAACAATGTTGATCTTTCTGGTGGAAAAAAAACATGATGATGTTTAATCATAAAATTTTGTGCGTATGATTACACTATAAATACGACCTGAAAAAAATAATCATGCAAATAAGTAGACGCTGTCTTCATGGTAAGCCTGGTTACCTCAAAAATTGCTACACGCTATCGCTGGCTCTTTTGTTGAAGCTGATTGGTCAGCTAAATCAGGGAGCGTTCCCAATCGCGTAGGGAACGGATGCTACGCAGTGCAATGATTACAGTGAAAACGCTGTAGCGACTGTGTAGCGATTCTATGGAAACCACGATTTAGCTAAAATTTGTAATATTAAAAAGTAAACCCATATTGCAATGCTAGAATATAACACCTCCAAGTGTTTTACAGAAAAATTAAAAAAATATAAATAATAAATAATTTAGACAGAGTGGAAAAAATTACAACTCTACGGATTCATGTGGCAACACCAGACTTTTCTGGAGTGTCAATCACACTGAACAACTGACCAATCAGAACAGGACCAGGAATACGTGTGTGGTCTTGGCAACAATATCCATGGGGCGGGGCTTAGCAGAACGTCCATTATAAACCGATAATTACAAAAAAATGTGCAAGAGCGTTATTGGATAACATACACTAGCCAATGAGCACAAAGTGTTACACCTTTTCTGTGGTGCATATGTACACACTAAAATAACTCACATACCACGACATTCTACCAAGTACCCATTTATTTATTTATTTATTTTATGTACTGTACAAAGGAGATTCTTAAATTTTAAGAATGCAGTAGAAGGTGCATTTCAAAGGAGTCCACGGAAAGTTCACAACAGATTTGGGGTAGAGTGTAACAATACAGGCATGTGAAAAAGCCTGCGACGATGACCTCTGGGTGTTTTCTGGCTTGTATGGGCAGATGATGGAGTGGATATGAATGGCTTAGTGGTTAAGATGCAAGGTTTGCAGTGAAAACGATTTAGAGACCGTGAAGCGATTTTATGGAAACCGGGCTTACGATTCTTATACAAAGGAAGTTTTACAAGTGATGGAATACACGTATACGTTTATGTTAAAACCTTTGATGATAAATAGGAAGAATTCCACAAATACATTTAGTATCCCCATGTGTGTACACAGTCATGTCAACTACAAATCAAGGTTGACCTTGGCATATATGTACAGCAGACATGCATTATACACAACAAATAATAGCAAAGATTAGTGGAGGGGGGTTGATTTGCACATCGTGGAGCTTTGATATTCACCATAAAATCGCAAAACAATAGGCAATGAAATGCCTAAAATGTGAAAGTCAACACTAAAATTTAGAGCCAATATGTTTACAGTTTTTAAAGTTTGCATGTTTACACAGTGTAACAAACACACACACATTTACATATCAAGTTCATTCCTAGGCTGCTACATAGGAACCAAAAACTACATGCATTGCAGAAAATGTTCTTAAAAGTATTACTGACCACAACTAGTCCTGTGAATAGATTGCATTGCATTTAGAGGTGTACATGTGAGCGCACAGTTCATAGCAGAGGTCGTAACTCCTAGTTTGCAAGCAAAAGATGACGGACTGTTTGACAAGCTGTCCATTTGCGAATGTTACATCGAGTCTAATTCAAGTTGAAACAGATGCAGAGATTTTGTTGTCACACCACCTCTTAAAATATTTATTTGAACTAATAACAATATGAACAAAAGTATTACGTAATCATCAGTTCATCACCCAAGTAATGAATCCTATGAACTGAACATAAAGGTAAAGGCACAGTGTACTTGGTAACATACAGAGTATTCGGTGCGATAACACATTAAGTAGGGCAAAATACCACTCCCATGGTATTTTGCCTGGTGCAAACACACATTGAAACAGCATTGCAGTCACCGCTGCTGCTTGGCGATTGGAATTAACACTAGTCATTAAGTACAAGCTCGGTGGTCTAGTCATTATGACACCAGGTTAGTTATCTCGAGGTAGTGGGTTCGATTCCCATCTGAATCACTTGTAAATTTATTTTTTCGCAAGTATTTGGGAACGTACTGAATATTCAGTAAGACAACGCATCAGGAAAGAAAACATCACATCTACAGTAGAACCCCTATTAAGGGGGACACCTTCAGGACTAGAAAAAGTGTCCTCTTAAATAGGGGTGTCTACTACTAGGGGTGTTGGCTATAATGTTAAAGGGGTGTCCCAAAAGAGAGGTTCTAATGTACTCAAAAAATCACAAGGACTCATCACATTACAGATATTTGGTCGTTTTACTTGAATATGGAAATAAAAGCATGAGCTGAATACAGTATCTATACACCTCCAATTCATTTTTAAGAATTACATAACAATACATATAATAATATAATAGACAGAGTTCACATCTTCAAACTTTTTTACAAGTTTCTACAATGATAAAATATCTATAATGTATTAAAACTAGGTATACATTTCTTTGTTATATAATTTTAATGGTAATTGTGAAAATTACTACTGTATAAAGTACATTTTGAAAGCACTACAAGGTTTGGTAGAATTTGTTCCCGTTCTTGGTACATTTAGCCTGAGAATATAAAAAAGGTATCGGAGGCAAGCACCTCTATAATGTAAGGTAATGTGGGAAGTTTACTATGATATTGTACATGTAGCTTGGGAATGTAATAATAGGCATTATTCAAGACTTTTTATACCTTCTTTGACGAACCCGCCAACCGCCAATAACGATGATTTCAAATAAAAATAAAATTTTATTTTTGGCCAATTAGAGCATGCGCCGCCACAAAAAATGGAAATAAAAAAAAAAATTTTTTTTTAAATTTTTATTACGCCCACTGCTGCCTTGAAATCTCCAAAAATAATATGTATTTCTTCTTATTAATTATATAAATTTCAAGCATTTAATCATCCCATTACTACGCTGTTTACATTCCCCTATAAAAATTTTATATTTATTTTCTCCTCCGTCTTTATGTTTTTGGCAAAACTACTTGCTAAATAAGAAAACAAAATTTGTATACTAATATTTATTCCACCCTCCTCTGATGACTTAAAAAAAAAAAAAAAACAAGTTAGCAAATCCAGGTATAAAAGAAGTCCAAGCACTTCAAAGCCAACAAACAGTGAAGGGGTCAGCCAAATGTGATGAGTGTGTGATTTAAACTTTCAAACTGTGTGAGATAACTATGAGAATTTCATAATTTATTTTTGTGTGATTGAGCACATGACAGCTACTCGGGTCTGCTCTAAATAAATAAAGTAGATTTGAATATGTTTAATTAGTTTCGCCAGTCAATTCCAGATTCATAACTCCTTTCTGTATATCTCCACTGCCATCAATCAAAAACTCCTTTTGATCGATGTCCTTCGTTTCTTCTTTTGATTCCTTCGTGATTAACTCCCCTTTCTTATCTTCAACATTATCATGTCCATCATTTGTTTTAACTTTTTGAGAATCTTTCATATGCTTATTCTTCTTTCCTTTATGCTTCCTCTTTCCATTATTTCCGGAATCATCAATTTCCGCAGATTTCATTTTTTCTGAAAAAGTCTGATTATCATCGTCATTTTGCGAGTCCAACAGATTTTTATCGATGTCAAAATTGAACATAAATACTGATGAGTCTTGTCCATCAGGTATAGAGTCCGTTCCTTCCATCTTTGGAGATGGCACAATTTTCTCACCATCTTTTTTCTCTTTAACATCCGTATTAAATTGTGTTAGGGTTTTGTTCTGTTGCACTGTATCGTCAACAACCTCTTCTTCTTTGAGCTTCAGTGGCCGATGAGCATGTCTGAAGAAGGTGGAAAGTGACTGCTGATCAGAGGCTACCGGTGTTAAAGTAGCTTCAACTGTTTCTGAAAAAAACAACAATAAAGTTAATGACAACTATTTTATCCTTTTACTTATAATTATTATGCCAAGGGATTGTGGTATGGGAAACGCAACAAATGTCCACATTGCAGAAAAGAGTAATTAAGTCGACTCCAGGTAAAGGAAACACAGCAATTTGAATAATACAGTGGTAATTTTGATGAGTGTTGACTTTTTACTGATAATGGCATCTTGAAGATTTGGGATCTGTTCGTTTATAATAGGATATTTATGTAAAACTAAGTATAAAACCTACAGGCTTTTAACATTTATATTACGACTTAAGAAAGGAGTAGGTATCATTTTCGAAGGTGGAGGGATTTCACCTGAACTCCTAGACATCCAACTTGAAAATCGCCTCCTTTTACATTTTAATACAGTACCAAAATCTGGTTACCACTCTCATTGAACAGCTTTATCAAGAATCTTTATAAAGTAAAGACTGCTTATTACATATAGGCCTGGAGCGATATAATTAAAGCCCCATTCCCAAAAAATTGCAGTTGTTGAGAAAAATCTGATATTTACATACCGATATGTTAATATACAGATTTATAAATGTAATATGAAATTGCTTGTTTAACTGAATTTAGACATTCCTAAACAAGAACAAAATGTAAAATAAGACTGAAATTTGATTTTTTTTTTGCGTGAATGCGAATGAATTATTTATGTTTGATTTTGCAATGCAGTGTAGGTCTTCAAAGAAATATAGTAGGCGCTGGAAACACAAATACGGACGCTATTCATTGGTGCCACGCCCCCACCCTCATAGACTAGGGTCTAGTAGGCTAGCTGGCCTAAAACATCTGCCAATTGAAGCCTAGGTCATAACCTATTATTTGTCTTCATAGAATTATTTCAAATTTGTTTAAAAAAATGATGCTGACTGACATTTTGACAATTAAACAAACATATCTCAGGCCTATTCGATCGACCGCAGTGTGCGTGCAAGATGCAAAGTACAAAAACAAATCTCATCAGAGAGGGCGCACTTTATTGACAGCAAAGTAAACACAAAAGACAGAGTATTCCAGCAGATGCGATCTATAACCTCTGAATTTGCCTAGTAATGAAGAAGTCGTCGAGAAAATGGTAATCTCCTATGAGAATTTCTATTAATCATAATTTCTCATTTTTTTTATAATTTTGCGCAAAACTAAAATTTATGCCAATATTTTTCCATAGTTTATAATAATTAGAGTAATGCCTATGCATTTTTTATAAAAAAAAGTTTTTGTTTTAATTTTAAACATTTTGAAGGGAATGGGGCTTTAAGTTATTTACAGTATTATGGGGGGAATGCATTAAACAAGCTTCTTTGGTTTTATTGTTCCCCTTGCAACACTGTATGTTACATTTTGCAGAAAAATAAATAAATAAATGCACAGTTACTCCAAAGGAATTGAGGAGGTTAAACCAGATTGATTCTACATCAATTGAAAAGCTCATTGACAGCAAGAAACCAAAACAGTATCAAATCTTACTTTTTTCATGTTTCTGTTTCTCTTGCATCATTTTCTTGCGGTAATCACCAAATGTCATCCGCATCACCTGTCGTTTTTTGACCATTGGTGCTTTTTGGGACTTCAGAGTGCGTAATAATTTTTCTGCATCTTTCCCTTAAAAATATAAAAACAAACTTATATGTGTTACGAGTGTCTCCACTCTTAATTATATTATTACCATAGAGGGCTCTGTTAGTGCATATGCATTAATAATTAGTTGTGACTGCCCGGTACAACAGGATGGTGAGTGTAGCTAAATGCTGGCAGTAATAATAATAATAATAATAAGATTTATTAAGCGCACATCTCCACTAAAGTGCTCAAGGCGCTTGTGAAAACCATGAAAAAGCTTATCCTTTTAAACTAAAGGCTACCAGAAAAACGACCATAACCCACATCACTGCTTCCGTTTACCAGCAATTTAAGGTGCCAGCAATTTAAGGTGCAGTAATATGTTTGATACTTGTTACTTGGCACATTGCATGAATGGAGAACCAACTACTTTAGTTTACCGAACAATACGATCATACAAAGTAATAAGGCGAAATAAACGGTACATTTTTGAAATTTGTGTAAGAGTCTACACTAGCTGGCAATTACTGATGTATTTGGCTATCTACAGGCTAGGGTCTCATAGACTTTCCATAACAAATACCATTTCAATGATGCCTATGGAACACACGATCAGCTCCCTGGCCGAGTAGTCCATAATGTGCTGCATGAAATAAATCAGCTTATGGGCACTCCAACTTCCTAAATGGAACCTCTTCAGTAGGAATGTAGTTAAGCCAAATCTTTCAATTCCTTGCTCCAAAACCTAGACTCGGAAATACCGGGTTGGTGTCCGGTGGGGGATAGTTTTCCACCATAGTGGACTTAAAGCGGCTAGAGATATCTGTGATCTATCAGGTGCTATAAAAAATATAGTTTTATTATTATTATTATCATTATTATTATTATTATTATTATTATTATTACCTACTTACAATACTCCTGGGTGGAGAGAAGTATAAAAGTCGTGGATACAGTGCCTTGCCTAAGGACAGACGCACCTTGCACAGAAGGGGGAGTTTGAACCCTGACCCCAAGGTTGAGTATTTGAGCAACATCAACTGTTGTGCTAACCACTTCATGCTTATTCACAATGACTTAGGATATGTACCTTGCCTAGAGGACGATTTGACGTTTGCCAGTCCTTGTTCAAGCTGTTGAATACACCAGTATAATTCACGCTGGAATACTTCAGACGAAGACTGTAAAATCAACATTGAAACAAAAAAAAAATAATCATAATATTGTAACTTGCAAAAAGGCTAACAAGCATTCTGTAATTTGATTTGGTAATTATCCACGAAAATACAGGACAAAATGTTAATGTTAAGTGGATCACACAGTGCGTCTGCAGAGTATCGAATCTCTCCTCACTGCGAGTGCCTGACGATGCGACGTCACCAGCTGATTCTCGGCAGCAGTCTGGCATACTGTCGGAAAAAACTTCCATCCTGCGCGCCTCATCACGTTGTGCTTTCTATGGAATCATGTTGGTAGACGACTATCGGAGCAGTACGTTCCTGGCTTGGCTTTGCTTTACTGTACTGTACGGCATTTTCGTCTGCAAACTCTTACTGTATGGCCGTCATTGACAGCTATTAATGATATATGAAGTGCAATTTTAAATTGAGGTAATAACAATGTATAAATTAATACCAGTACTTTTTTGAATAATATAATGTTTATTTTGCAATTGTCTTATTTTATATTATTTTGCATACTGGAAAACACACAGGACATCCCAATTAAGGGGACGCTCTTTGGCATTGAAAAAAAGGGAAGTATACATTTTAACACTATGGTCAACCCCTAATCAGGGGACACTCCTATTAAGGGGACACTTTTTTAGTTCCAAGGATGTCCCCTTAAAAGAGGTCTTACTGTATTTGATTTTTTATAATAATTATCTTATATTTGTATAACTACAGGTCTCCCTCCAATTAAAGACCACTTTTGGGGCTGGGATTTCCATGGTCTTTTTAGCTGCTTTGATCTTTATTAAAAGATAAAAGACATTTGTGAATTTAGAAACACAGAAAAGTGGTCGTTAATTGGAGGTGTCTTTAATTAGAGGGAAACTTGTACAAAAAATTAATGTTTAACGTTTAGGAAGACTGAGTAGGAGGGGCACACCCTTTTAGGTGATACAGTAGTAGTTTTTATACAACTTTTGTCCCTCCCCACCCTCCCTATTCCTTCACCATTGTCTTTGCTTTCTTCCCTTGTGTTATTATACTCTTTGCTGCAAGGAAAAAACTAAAAATAAATAAAACATCAGTTAACATTGCCTGTACAACTACTGATAATTATTCTATATTAAAGAGTGATCACAAACAGCCTGCTAAAACCATTACTTTAATGAGTTTCAGTACTACACATAAGTAGCTTAAATCTCACATTACACAATTAATGCGAATTTACAATTCTACGAGTCAAAAGATACCTGTTTATGCAGGAGTTCTAGCGAATATGGGGGAATGATCCTGTTAAAGGAGAGGTTGTGCGACAGGTGATTGGAAGGAGGACGTTATTGTGATATTCGCTGACACAATACATCAGTGGAAAGAGAGAAGGAAGTGCTTTTGGTTGATAAAGATACAGTATATCAGTTTATATTAATAATAAATAATAATATAATATCCTGGATTTATAAAGCGCCTAATGTCAAAAGCACATGAACAAAAACTGAAAAAATAATGAAATAAAAACAACGTAATAAAAATAAAGAAAAACTTTTACTTGTTTCAGAAATTTCCACTTTTTCGTGGTGACAGGTAAGCTAATTAGCCAAAAATAAAATTTTATTTTTATTTGAAGTCATCAATATTTTTTAAACAAGGTATAAAAATTGTCTCACCTTCACTTTTATATTACTAATACAGTATCTAATATAATAATAATATAGTATCTATAAAAATCATACACAAACAACATTCACATTGCAAATATGGCTGTATAGTTTCTGAAATTACTTTTGGTTTGTTTGCTCAACCCAGTATACGGTAAATGAGGAAGATTCAATACATATCTTTTATCTTCATTATGCATTCTAATGATATTATTGTGTTAAATAATCAAACACAGTGTATACAAATTTTCATCGAAAATACAATTGAATACAAAAAAAAGCAATTAAGATTGATGTGGGAATAATCATGCAAGGTGGGAATAATCAATACGATTTGTGAAAAGCTCCCTTGATGGGTTACCATGGCTACAAGCCCAGAGCAATCTTCAGTCACCAAACACGACTGGAGGTCTCGTGAGGAATATGGCTGCTTTTCTACGGCACCATGATTCACAACTGAAAACATTTTCCACCTGTGGACCAACTCCATTTACATTTTTTTTTCTTGATTGTGGGAGGGAGATAACTTTTCTTTTCAATTTAATTGGTATTTTAATTTTTTTATTTAACATTATATTTTTCTTAAATTATCCTTTTACGAAATCTTAATTATTAGTAAAGGAGACTAGACAAAATAACTTTTAAAAAAAAGACATTATATTAATAATTTAATTTGAAAACAGCTATACAGTAGTTCTACATTAAAAATTTCAACATTTTCAAAACTTGTTTGTTATTCATTGTCAATATAATTTATAAACTGGTTCGACGGTGTCCAGTGGCAATCAATAACTAATGACGAAAAATGTTATAAAGAACTCTGCTATCTAGAACTACACAGTGAATAGTGCTCAATTAAATGGTAGCCTGACAGAAGCTTAACTCACTGTTCTACTCAATATCTCTCAAAATTGTAGCCTAGAAGGTCATACACTGTATGTCAAATTACTATTAACAAACTGGAATGGATATTACCATTATGGATTTCTTTCTCTCTCTTTTTATCGGGCATGCCCGGTTAATGATGAGCAAAGTCATAATTTTTCTGTAAATTTTCTCCACAAATCTCTGTTTTCCATAAGTTGATGAATGTACTGTCGGTGTGTGTTTAGATCCTTTTCTAATTGGTCGATGTATGTAGGTGGGGAGGAAGGGGGAGGGGCATCCTTGATTATTTTTCCCCTGAATTGGTTCCCAAAAAGGAAACATAAAAATAACTTCTCTTTTGCTTCTGTAGCAATGTCCATCAAATACTAATCTTCGTGCCCTCAAAGTTAAACTGGTGGTAGCCACTCTGTGTGTGCGCTGAACCGTGGAGATCTCTAGGTCCCCGGTTCAATTCCCATCTCTGCTCTCCTTGTGTTTCAGCTTGAGGGCCAAAATACAAGTTAGGATAGCATACCATCTTTCGGTTGAGACATTTAAGCCATTGGTCCTGTGTGCTATATGGCCCATTGCACGTTAAAGAATGCAGTACATTCTTCCGAAAAGATTAGGGGATTGTCTCCCATTTACTGCCAAATTCACCACCAGAAGGACCCCACAGGAAACAAGTCTTCGACTTATACCCTATTCAGACTACCCTCTGTTGCGATTCCTCCCGATCGCAACCAACGAATGCATTCAGACCAACACAAACAAAGTTTACATTCTAGGGCCTAGGTCTCCGGTGGCTAGGAATATGTTGACTGACATCAGCCAAACAGTGGAATTCGTTGTGATTCATTGCGATCGGATTCCGTGGTAGTCGGGAGTAATAAAGATTGTAGCACCCAATCGCAACGGGTAACAATTATGATATCGACTACTATTGGTGAGCTTTCACACACGATTTGCGATTGGGTGTCGCGATTGCTACAACCGATCGCAATGCGATGCTAGTCTGAATGGGGATACTATACTACTATACACAAATAGGTGTATATAAATTATAATAAAATAAAGTAATTTATGGATATAATAATAGAGAAGAATTAATTAAAAAAAATATTCATGGTATGAGGTAAAAAACAAAATATTTCTTGTGATAATTTTCTAAAAACCTAAATATACCTGTAAATTTTCATCATTAAAGATTAAACAAATATGGCTTTTACAATAATGTAAAAAGGCTAAAAAGTCTGAGTATGTTAAAGGGACTTTGCTCAGTAGACCACCACCAGGGCTTTTACCTACACCCCACTTAGCCCCAGGCTTTACTCAGGCACAAGGTCCTTAGCTGCCACTTAACACAGAAGGGCCAAACCATGAGTTTCGCCCTGGGCTCATTAACACTTAGGTATCCCACTGCCTTTAAAATCCCTTGAGAACAAATGGAACTTTCCGTTGGAAAATGATTTCTGTAGAATTTCTTAATTAAGTATAATCTGGTTATCGTAAAGACCTACAGTGGTTCAAAATGGACAGCATAATTATACCTAATTAAATACTCAGACATTGGCAAAAATATGAATTGATCATTTAAATTGCAATTTTATTAAATATGTACAGTATTACTGTATGGATTATCCATTGACTATCTATTAATTTTCCTTAATAAAAAAAAATATATATTGCGCTAAGAATAACTTGAATTGATATTGAATATAAATTTTAAAAATATGGATTATCTATTAATAATAAATAATAATTTTTGTCACTGGCACTTAAAGATAAAAGAGTTATTGATTAAAGAGGTTAAAGGAGGGTCTTGAATGCATTAGTATAGAAGTTGATCTAAGATTAGGTGGAAGCGAGTTCCATAATCTCAGAGCGGCAAAAGAGTATTCACTAATATAGTACTATTAATTTACCTATAAAAAATATATATTCTATATTAAGCTACAGTACCTGTAACATTGATAACTTGAATTTATAAATTATATTGAATATTTGAAAAATAATGATGATATGACGATGATATGACGACAATGATGAATGATGAATGATGATGATGATGATGATATGTCCATATTTAAGAGACAAGCCCTGGTATGGTATCCACTTTTACTCCAGGGTAGGAAGAGTAATATTGTATTACATTACATTTTAATTGAAATTTAGACTGAATATTATCCTCACCAATTATTAATGATGCATACTAAAGACCAGACTGTTTTTATACTGTACCTTCTATGCAAACTTATTTTTTTTAAGATTGTCAGAGGAGCGTGAAAAAAAAAAATAAATAAAAATAAAATTTTGTTTTCTTAGCAAGTGGTTTTGCTAATAACATCCAGACGGAGGAGAAAATAATTTTATTGTCGAATGTAAACAATGTAGTTAGAGGATGGTAATAAATGCTTTTAAATTTACTTAATAATAGGAAGAAATTATTTTTGGAGTTTCAAGGCAACGGTGGCCGGCATAATAAAAATAAAATTTCCAAAATTTCCATTCTTTTGTGGCCGCGGTTGCACTAATTGTCCAAAAATAAATTCATTGTTTATTTGAAATCATCATTATTGGCGGGTGACCGGTTCGCTAAACAAGCTATAAAAAAAGTCTCACCTAAATGGACCAATCAAAAAAAGGGCTAGGCAACACACGTCTCACAGTTTACGATCTCGTATTGTGGGGCCTTAAAAACGATATCCAAAGGGTGGGCTTTGTAGAAAGATAAATTAAAACACCGAACTTCCTAAAGCTTTAGTATTGCATGCTGGTAATCAAAAGTTTAGCTGACAGAGCAGCCTCTATCAACACTGATATTATTTATTCATAACAATAATAATTTAACCTTGGAAAATGAAATTTAATTTTGTTTCCTCAATCAGCATTGTGTTTGAAAGATCTACATGATTGCAAACTATTAAAATAAATTGCCTTCTCTGAGCTGTGTTACTGTATGTGGTATGAGGTCTTTGATTCTACTATATGCTGTACAGTACAGTACTGTAGACTCCTATTCAAGATCTGGCTGGGGCATTGAATTCTGGATCTCATACAGGCCCGTAGCAGGTTCTTCCAAAGGGGGGTTTTCTGGGCGTGAGGTCCACAGTCGAAGCCCCGGTGGGGTCAGCGAAACCCCCAAAGCAGGAGGATTTTTGTGCTTTATAGAATCTAAATACTGCTATAAAAGCAGATATGTTTGAAAATGTCTGTGTCGGGGTGGGTCTGCAGTGCATTAGTTGGGTTGGAGGACGTATTTGGGAAATTTAAAGAGGGGGTTTCGCCAGAAGAGAGTGGGATTTGCTATAAAAGGGTGGTTCTCCAAACCATAACATCCACCAGCCCCCTTGGTACGGGCCTGTCGTATATCAGCTCCCTAAATACTGTATATCACAAATGCCATTTAGACAGGTTAAAATCATGTTTGCATCAGTTACCTGCCGATTTGTACATGCCAATGTGGCAGCCAAAGGACCCCAGGGGGGCCTAGCTGATACTTTCAATTTATTTTATTTAATTTTTTTTCATCCCATGAGGAACAATCCTATAAGCAATGTACTGATGAAATTATTTTCGTCACTTCTGATTTCAAAGCCTGTTACATATATACATTATATTGAGTTTATAAATTGAATGAGACAAACCAGATTTCAATAATTTACACAAATTTTAACTCAATGAGAAGAAATTGTACTGTAGTATTTATACTTCTCTTTTGAGGAATGTACAGTAGTTTATACAAATCAAAATATTCCTTTTATAAACCAAAACTAGAAAAAAAGAAAAATAATGAATAATAGTGAACAATGATAATAATTACAGTATATATAATAATAAATGATAATGATAAAGATTTATTACGTGTAATTAGAAATAATAGGTCTTGTACTATAGAAGAAATTACAGGTTTTCCTCTATTATTAAAGACTCCACTTAAAGAAATGTCCAATTAAAGACCACATTTTTTGTGTTCTTGTATTATTTCTTTTATCTTACTGTATTGTTCCAAAAGACCAAGGCCTCTAAAGACAATAGTGGTCTTCAATAGGAGACTAAACAAGATATAAACACTCTTGTCTGAAAGGAAATAAACCCATTGATTCTGCATGGCAACTTTTTTTCAACAACGACAACGGCAACGACAACAACAACAACAACAATAATAATATTATGATAATGCTAGTGAGTATAATAATAATGATGGTGATAATATGATAATAACAAAGATTTATGACTAATAACAATACTCTACTGTAATAGAAATTATAATTACTAAATCACACAAAGAGATGCAAAAAAAGTTAATTCACACAGTACGTTGCCTACTTCATTATAAATGTGTACAGCAGCATGCCTGACAACTAATACAACTTTAATATACACTGTAGGCAACCTCATTTATCTTGTATTTGTTGACGGCACATTAGATATTCATTTGCTAATTCACAAGCTACTATGGTAAGTCACAACTCAAGCTGTTTAAAGTGCTTCACTTAAAATTTGACTATAATGTAAATCGCGAGCTATTATTAAGGTCAATCAATCATGGCACTAAAACGAGAAAGCCAAATACTTGGATAGTTATATTAATAAAACAGAGCAAATACTGTACATAGGCTTAAAATAGCAAATTGCGATAGAAAAACATGCATCACAATTTAAATTTTTAAATAACGTTTGTCTACGTGCGGATCGTCAATCAATGAAGATACTAACTGTTAGTATGAATAAATGCAGGTGCGGATCCAGAAACGTCCAAAAGGGTGGGGGGAAGTTGGGCCGATCGAAACAACACAGTAATAGGGAGTCCGAAATTTTTGTGTTCTAGACGCCTGAACATGACATTTGAGGCATTCTGGGCTATCATTTTTTTCTTTTTCTTTCTTTTTCTTTTTTAACATATTTTTTTACCTCTTCAAAAGGAGTGGGGGCTAGACCACCCCCTCCCCCCTAAATCCGCCCCTGGAATGTCATTTTAAATGTGGAAAATGAAAGATTTTGATGAACAAATTCTATTTGATATTTCTAAGTTTGATAGCAAAAGACAGACAGTACTAAATGTCTAAATACATCTTTGAAATTTTTAGTAATTATAGAATCACCAAACAAAAAAGCACACTTTGCAATCCATATTAAAGTGCAGACAATCTATGATATACAGTATGTAAGAGCCGAGTATTATTACAATTTACAAAACTGTCTGAGAGTGTTTTAATATGCAACTGTCCACTAATGGATTAATCAAATTTGGATTGCTTTTGGCAGCGTAATCTTACCTCCTTCTCTTGCTCATCATTCACGTCATTTGGAGACTCTTGTCCAGAAACACATCTTTGACGTTCGCGGTCAATAGCATCCTACAATAAAAGCAGTATGTGCATTTGTCATTGACATTTGAATTTTAATATTGCAATTGCAGAATTTAAATAAAAGCATCTTAACATTCTGTTTCTGATTATTTTAAGAATGCGATTAAAGTTCAAGTAGCATCAATCTGCTCAATAACAGTTTAAAGCAAAAAAATGTTTAACAATATATTAAAATTATAATATTTATTATAATAAAGTAGAAAAGTTGACAAGTAACCAAGTATAGTAGTAATATTACAAAAGCATGGGAGCAAAAACTGCAACAACAGCAACAACAACTACAACAGTAATTACAATAGCAACTACTGTACTAATGTACAACAGCAAAAATAACAGTAACAATAAAAACAAGAGCAACAACTGTAACAACAGAAACAACAGCAACAATAACTACAACAGCAACAACTACAGAACAACAGCAACAACTGCAACACAACAGCAACAACAACTACTGTACAACAGCAACAACAACTACAGCAACAGCAGCAACAACACAAACAGCGCAGCAACAATAACTACTGTACAACAGCAACAACTACAGTACAACAGCAACAACTACTGTACAACAGCAACAACTACTACAACAACAGCAGTAACAACAACACAAAACAGTGCAGCAACAATAACTACTGTACAACAGCAACAACTACAGTACAACAGCAACAACTACTGTACAACAGCAACAACTACTACAACAACAGCAGCAACAACAACACAAAACAGTGCAGCAACAATAACTACTGTACAACAGCAACAACTACAGTACAACAGCAACAACTGCAACAACTACTGTACAACAGCAACAACTACAGTACAACAGCAACAACTGCAATAACTACTGTACAACAGCAACAACTACAGAGCAACAACTACTACAGGAACAACAGAAACAGCAGCAACAACTACAACAGCAACAACACTTACTACAGCAGCGACAACTATAACAACAACAAGACTGCAACTGCAACAAGAACTATTGTACAACAGTAGCAACAACTACAATAGCAACAACAGTAACAACTGCAACAACAGAAAAAACAGCAACAACAACCATAGGCAAGGGGGGGGGGGGGGGAATGGTCCATTGTATCATCCAACCCATATTTTGACTATGTATGGGATAAAATGGAGCTTTACACACTTCAAAAGACTGTCACAGAAATAATTTGCAATGTCTTATGCGCATACAAAGATGAAAATTAGCATAATGTATTAATGTTGATAACAAAATTATTTTATCTGATACCAATCTAAGCTCTTCTTTCCTTAGATGTTAGATGTGCTTGCAAAGCAAGCCACATTTTCACACTGAAGGGTGTGTACGACATCAGTAATTTTATGCCAATTCCAAGAATTTTCAATCATCCCCCCAATGAAAAATACTTTTCTACGCCACTGACAACAACTACTCAGCAACAACAGAAACAACAGCAACAACAACTACAACAGCAGCAACAGCAACAACTACAATAAAAATTGAATACTGTATGTATACTCAAATAAACGCCTATAGTTTCACTGTACTGTAAATGTGAAATTACAACACAAAATTACAATCAAAATGTGTTATTGCCCGATCATAAAGACGTATTGATCTTAAACAGGTTAGAAAAAAAGGCGTTTATTCCAAATGGGGCTCCGAAGGGGCGTTAAGTGGGGGAGGGGGAAGGGGAATTTATTCAAGCGGGGCGTTTATTTTATTGGTAATAGAGCTTCACTTTTTTTAGGAGTGATGTTTTGCCCATATCCACATCAAAATAAGTTTAATTTTTGCATATTTTTCGGGCCATTTGAATATTTTACAGCAATACATTTACGTTGTACTACAAGTGAATTAACTATTATGAATTCTTATCCTTACCTCTCGTCTTTGATCCTTCACCTCACGATGTCGCAGCAGCTCTTTTTGTTGACGTGCTCGTTTTTCTTTATCTGCCCGAGTTCTTCTGATGTCGTGCTGTAATCTCCAAATTGGATTCATTTTTCAGTGTGGTGATTACATTCGTTCAGTGATTCACAGGAAATATGACCATTACACCATATTTCTTTTTTTTGTTTGTGCTAAATTAAAAGAAATATACATATTGTGGGCCTCACAAACAGTAATGTCATTAAGAAGAATCTTGAAAATCTCAAACAGATAAATTTAAAATTTATTCATTAAATCGTATTGTATACTCGTATAAAGACTGGCTTAAAATAGCAAATTACGATAAAAAAAAAAAATAGGGGGAATCCAATATGCACGACATACTGTACAAATTTTACATTTTTATAAATTTTCTGTTCGTCTGTTGTGCGGATTGTCCATAATTTACTACTGTAATGAAGCTACTGAAAGGAGTTTTACCGATTAATTAAAATGAAGATGTTTTGTATGCCTATGAATGAATGAAATTTAAATACGGGAATCTGAAATAAGATTTTGATGAATAATTATAATCTCATAAAATGGTACTACTTGAAAGATTAGACCAGTATTTAGATCCATTTTTAGCCAGCCAAATGCAGTTAGCAAGACCATAAAAATCAGCAAAAAATGGATTCCGACGGTGAAAAGGAGGGGGAGGGGGGAGGGGGAGAGGGTAATCTCATACAACCGATCTACAAAAATTGTCAAAAAAAAATCTTCTCAAACGAGGATCATCTTATATACTGTGTCTTATATTATTATACTATAGATGTCAATTACAATTTCAAACAACAAGTATACAATAATACATGGTCAGGTTCACTATAAGCAGTAATACTATTAGCAGAGCTTGAGATTTGAAGTGAGTGTTGCACTCCCACAGCACCTAAACTCCCCTTTAAAGGTGTGAAAAATAGAGCACAAGGGTTTAAAAATCATGCACCTTAACTTAAATCTAGTAAAAACCCCCACCACTGTGGTTGTGTTTTACTGTAGGAAGTATTTTGTGTTGCTTTCAACTCCAACACCATTTTACAGGCCTAAGTACAAAAGCAAAGTTCTTGAAGTTCTTACTCTCCCAAATACAGTAATCACTTACCCATTACAAATTAAGATGTTTTTCATACCTCAACTATGACTTTCAAATAACAACCCCTATTTTAGTATGAATATGGCCAAATAAAAAAGTACTTGTTTAGTATCACCACCCCTACCTGAATTTTCGAGCGAAAATTCAAAATTTAGTGGCGGAATTTTTTTTGTATTGAAAAAAATTAATTTTGTCCAGAAAATGTATCCAGCATAGGCCTATTTTCAGATTCAAACACAGATTTCACCAACCAGGTGTAATACAGTGTTTAATTGTACAGTAGGCCTATAGAAAATGAATAACTTTTAACACTTTAGTTTTCAGAATGAAATTGAAAATATTTAATCTTTGGAAGGAATTCTTTGTTTTGATTTACTTTGTTTGATGATGACAAGTAGAAACAAGAAATTCTTTTTATTTGGCCTACCCTTAATATACTGTGCAATAGATGCTTTAATCTTGCACTGTTCGTTACTGTTTCTAGGAATTTTTAATTATTCATGAGAAAAAAACCAAATCCGGGAAATATGTGCCATCCCATGAATACTTGAATAGTTTCATCTGGTTTGTTTTTAATGATTGTAGTAGAGCTGTTGATAATAAACCAAGCACATTGATGTAACTTAATTGCAGTACAACTACAATCGCATGATAAAGTAGGGCTTATTTAGTGTACGATGCATGCTCTAGTAATTGCTTTATAAGTCAAACGCCGTCTTTTAATTTTAGTTTTTTATAACCAACTGTTATAGCAGTCATCAGTTGCTATAGTGATATGATCAGTATACGTGTGCGTATTTACATTTAACTGTGCGTATGCTGAATTTCACTCCTGCAGTATGCATTGAACTACACATCAGCAGTACAGTACAGATACGATATTGTAATTTGTATTGTGTTAGAAAGAACTTTCGCCAAACAAAAAAACATTTCAGCATTCGAGAGGGAATACAGTCACTGACATCCTTTTTGTTCGGTGCATGTAGACAGGTAAAATTGTGCGATGATTTCATAACTAGGCTAGGCTACGGCCTAGTAGTAGTAGGAGGCCGTAGCCCGAAATAGGCCGTCCAAAATGGACGCCAGTGAGCATGGCACTGAGCCGATAGGCAGGCCATGCCCATCTTTGGGAATCTTAACCGAATATTGGTACGAAATCAACGTACATTCAATCAATAAATGTTGTTTTTATCAAACTTAAAATTTGATTTAGCTTTAGTTTAATGTAACATTCAATAGATTTGAAGAATATAAAGAATTTGCTACAGGTAGACCAGGCCCAATTAGGCTAGGCTGAGCTGATTAGGCCAAGCTGTCCAAGCCGTCACGGTAAAAGTTGCCGTCTTAAATAATTGTAGGCCGTCCAAACGGCTCACTGGCTAGGCCTGTGCACCCAATGTTATTCTCAGTCACAACATATCATTACATGATTCAACCACTCACAAAAAGTAAATAAATACAAGGTTTCTGTGCTCGCTAGCAAGAGAAGCTGCTACTATTTTGTAATCAGTAATAAATTGCCTGAATATCTGATTTTTTTTTCCACTATTGAATGGCAGTCTTATATTTTCTGATCGGAATTTTCCCATGAAACATCTGACAACAAAAATGCGGCTTCATACAGACAGTGCCATCGCTTTTTTCTTTTGAGCGTGCTGTTTAACGTTCAGGTTTTTCGAACTGCCGTAGTTGTTCTGCTGGATTGTGGCATTAAAATTAAATGTTTTTATACTGTACCTGTCTACACATTTGGATAATGTTTTTTTTTTTAGTTAGTATAAATTGTACACTTGAGTTGACTTTCATGTGAACCACTTCATAATTAAACAGCAACACCATATTATAACTAGCATACAGACTACTGAAATTACATACGAAATGCAACCCTACCTATTCTACTAGCTACAGTAGTACTACTTAAACTAGGGGGCCTACACAGACAGTACCGGTACACTACCATGACATGATGTTACACACAACAAACCTTCCTAGGGCTTATTCTAAAGATTACAGTAAAGGTCCGTGGGTAGGCTTAGACCAGTAGTAGTAGAGAGGAAATGGTGGGCCTACCTAGACTGGGCCACTAGCCTAGGCCTCCTAGATAGATAGGCGGCGGCGTACATGCCGAGGGAGACCTGACTGACCTGTCCTGAACCTGGCCTAGAGCTAAGTAAGCCACTCTGTACTACAGCCAGAGTCTCTGTAGAGGTTAATATTAAATAAAATAATAAATGTTGCTTACCCTAACCTAAAATGTTGTTGAACGAAAATACATACAATTGTGTAGTCCTACTTCCTGTCTGTCCGATAGTAATAATGTCATTAATTATATAGTAGTAGTAGTGAACAAAAACAATGATTAGCATAAGAGCACCTGAGTGCCAGCAATCTGTCTCTTTTCTTCTTTTCCATCTCTTTAATATTTGCCTAACCTTTTTTTTTAATCCTACAGTACGCCCTCACATAGCAGAAATGGTATTGGCCTTTAGAGCAGCCGTCTAATTAAGCAGCCAATGAGATAAATGAAATTTGTGACGTTTAGATTTACTATGGCAACAGTACATAATAAAAAATTAAGTACGCTAGCAACAGAAAGTCAAGCTTCCTCAATCAACACATTGATGAGCTGATGCTACATTCTCTTTAGCAGAATTTGCAGAGTAGACACATTTCACTTCATTCATATAAGTTGTTTTTGTTTTGTTTGGCTACAGAAGTTAAGTGTTTTGAACACAAAAAAGGACAATGGCCACACTACTTTCGAAAACACGTACTCCACCGGCCCCTACTCCTCCATATTCTGGTGTTGTTGGGACCAGAACCGACAGTGAGCTAGCTGAAAGTCTTGCAAGAATGACAACATACGGTGATAGTGGTGTGCTAGGAACTGCGAGAGGAGCCCCCACATCTGAAGGCTTTCGCTCAGCTAAGCACACTCCACAAGAATGGCATACATCAAACTACCAACAATATTACCAAAGTTTTTCAGATCGTGACAACGCAGAGAGGCTGCGACATGAATCGAAGACACTGTCGAATGAGACGGATGCCTTGACGAAGCGTACTCAGACAGATGCCACAAAGAAACTTACAGAGCGCCTTCACGATATCCACTTTTGGAAGTTTGAATTGAACCGTGAAATTGAAGAGATGATCGAGGAGACGGATCTACTCTGCGCCCAGAAGAAGCGACTAGAAAATGCTCTTGACGCCACTGAAATTCCAATGTCAATAGCACAAGACAATTTGCAATGCCGCGGAAGAAGGCATGACATTGATCTTGTTCATGATCGTGTTGAGCTTGCACTTAATAAGGTAGCCCAAAGCTTATTAAACATTTCAATATTGTCACAATGACACTAGACTAGGCTAGGCCTAGGAGTATTCAATAATATTTAAAGAATTAATTTGTTATATTCTGAATAATATTTCACTATTATTTATTTCTTTTAATGTCTTTATTATTAGGAATATGAGATAATTGTCAAAGTACAAGACTTGCTGAGGAGAACAATTGAACAATCGGATAGACAAATCAAGTAAGCCATTCTTTTGTTTAAATGTATTCAGTCACATTTTTTTTAGGTATGGAATAAGTGAACAAATAAAATGACCCAAACACCATCTTTTTGTATCCTGTGAGAATCAACATTTGATGGGTACATGAGGGTCACTCAAAACCATACAGTCTTCATCAAGGTCTTAGAGTCCCTCTGTTCCCCAAATCAGGGCAGTGGTAGATGACACCACCATAAAAACATTGAAGTGTATCAGGATTGCCAGATCCAGGAAACAACAGTGCAACATTCACCAGCAGCAGTGCACCAGCCTACCGTTTTCAGTGGTAGATCCAAAATTTTTTTGTGGGGGGGTGGCACAAGTGGATCAAAGATTTATGACCCAATAGGGGCAGAACCTATGGTCCAAGAGAACAGGGTTTAGGGCGTTCCTTTACCTCCTGGGGGAAACTGTTTTTTAGTATATTGACAAACAAAATGAAAATCAGTATTAATGAGTTATTTATGGTCATACTATTCTACATTATTTCAGATTGAACCGAGGAAGTAAGCACAAGTTGACAATGGATTGGTCTGATAAAGTTGAAGCATACGATATTGATACCAAGTGCGCCAATCTCAATAATGACTCAACTGACATCATGTACAAGGAGGGCTCGGCAAAATTCAATGCTGTGTAAGTAAAAGCAAAGAGTATAAATATAACAAGAGAGGTACTCCCATTTATAAAAATGTCACACCTGCGTAGGACAGCCGTTAATGGTTGTATGTTCACCTGCGTATGAACTCTACTGGTGTGTACTATGAACTTGGTAAGTAAAAACAAGTACTGTATCGTGAAAAACTGATAAACAGACAAACAGACCGTGCGTGACAGGATGCGGGTAAACATGCAAATGACAGCGGGCGTCACTGGCTGCGTAGGGAATAGCGTTTGTTCATGCTCTCAATGAGCATAGTTGGCTCTCTTGTTCTATCTTTTGCTGGGTTGGCACTCAAGTGGCAAACAAGAGCTTAGCTCAGTTAGTTCAGTCGGCTGAACTGGTGGTAGCCACTGTGCGTGCGCGTGAGATTTCTAATCAATGTTCAGGAGAAGGCCTACACTATCAAATTGTCATGTGGCTACCTTGTGTGAAATACCCATGTAAAAATTGATAAAGTGTCATTTAATTAACCGAGGTGCAGTGTCAATTGATAGAGTTACTAGTCCACATATCAAGCGCCATGAACATCTTGTTTGATGGACACCGATGCTATACAAATCTAAACTATTATTATTACTGTATTATTATTATTATTATTATTATTATTATTATATGCTGTGCATGTTAATGGTGGAAATAAAGGTTAATTTAAATGAAGCAACGAACAATATTTAATGTGTGGAATGAATTCTTAAGTGTTGGTGCTGCAAAAGAAAATGATGCCATGACCATTAGTAGCGGGCAACCCTACCAGTTACCCAATTGTGAAACTCCCACTTCAAGTTAAGAGACCACCATGTGGCGCCAAAACCAATACTTCTGCCAAATTGCTTCTTATTATTCATGTACTTATTTATAGACAATCAACACCTGAGAGCTGGGCTCAGTTCTCGCACGACAACATCGTCCGTGCCGAGCACGAGAAACTCGCTTCTCAGCAACTCAGGAACTTGATCGACCAAATTCTCACAGACACATCGAACGACATGAGAGAGCAATGCAACACCGTTAACACAGAGTTTGCTAATAGGATTCAAGAAATGAACAATGCCAAGACACAGATGGAGAACCACAGAGAAAAGGTAAATGCAAACATTCAATACCGCCACCTAGAGGTTAATGTATTGTCTGTCTATTAGCAGGATTATGCAGTAATGGGCTTCAGGAGATTGAGTATTACTGCAGGACTAGGTCAAAATTACTCTTCTTATCGGACAAGGTGCTACCAGCCATTGGTCATCTGTCAACACACTGTACTTGGCATGCCTGTCAAATGAAATGAACTGAAGTGAACCTTAATATATTCCAATTTTTCGCAGGAATTTCACTTTGTACTGCAAGCACAGTATACTCCAGGGGCGGATTTTGGTGGGGGGGCGGCCCGTCCCCCTTTTGAGAGGTTAAAAAAAAAAAAAAAGAAAAGAAAAAAAGAGAGAAAAAAAATGATAGCCCAGAATGCCTAAAATGTTATGTTCGGGCGTCTAGAACACAAAAATTTCGTGGGGGCATGCCCCTAGGACAGTGTTGGCTCGATCGGCCCAACTTTCGCCCCCCCTCCCCTATTGGACATTTCTGGATCCGCCCCTGTACTCAAAAACTAAAGCTTTGTCCACACTATCAGATTAATTGACAAATGATATGTGATTTGGATATAATATGTGACATCATCATGACCATATATAGGCATATCACACAAATTTGTCACATAAAATTTAATAGTGTAGACAGAGCTTAATGAATAGATCATCATAAAATCTAGTACAATGGTAGATATGGGTCTAGTATAGGAAAAGGTGATTAAAGTTTGGGATGAAAGGTCAAAGGTGATGTTTAAGGTTACAGAAAGTTTTAAAATTTCCTTTAAATTAACTTCTCAAACATAAAAAAAATAATAATGGAAACGCCCATCTCACACCCTTGAACGTCCTGTGTGTATTAATCGATATTCAGGCACAGGCCTACTTAAGTTCATTATATTAACAATTTACAGATAAATTTAATAGTTTGACACAACATGACAAAAAAATAATGTTAACAGCATTTGTACATGAAGTAAAATTATGTGACTAAATGTTTACAATAATAATTACTTATATATAATTTACAGATTGTTGAAGAGATTGCTGAAATGGAGAGGAACGTAGCCTCATTGCAGAAAGCAATCAAAGACAAAGAAGCACCGATGAAGGTAGCACAGACAAGACTAGACCACAGGACTTACAGGCCCAATGTAGAACTATGCAGAGATCCTGCACATTTCAAGTAAGTTACCACCTTTTTTTAGGTTCCTTGCCGGGTGCCAGAACAAGTTTTCATGTAAGATGTGTATAAGAGACAGGAACTCAAGCGCCATGAACATCTTGTTTGATGGACACCGACGCTATACAAATCTAAACTATTATTATTACTGTATTATTATTATTATTATTATTATTATTATTATTATTATATGCTGTGCATGTTAATGGTGGAAATAAAGGTTAATTTAAATGAAGCAACGAACAATATTTAATGTGTGGAATGAATTCTTATGTGTTGGTGCTGCAAAAGAAAATGATGCCATGACCATTAGTAGCGGGCAACCCCACCAGTTACCCAATTGTGAAACCCCCACTTCAAGTTAAGAGACCACCATGTGGTGCCAAAACCAATACTTCTGCCAAATTGCTTCTTATTATTCATGTACTTATTTATAGACAATCAACACCCGAGAGCTGGGCTCAGTTTTCGCACGACAACATCGTCCGTGCCGAGCACGAGAAACTCGCTTCTCAGCAACTCAGGAACTTGATCGACCAAATTCTCACAGACACATCGAATGACATGAGAGAGCAATGCAACACCGTTAACACAGAGTTTGCAAATAGGATTCAAGAAATGAACAATGCCAAGACACAGATGGAGAACCACAGAGAAAAGGTAAACACAAACATTCAATACCGCCACCTAGAGGTTAATGTATTGTCTGTCTATTAGCAGGATTATGCAGTAATGGGCTTCAGGAGATTGAGTATACTGCAGGACTAGGTCAAAATTACTCTTCTTATTGGACAAGGTGCTACCAGCCATTGGTCATCTGTCAACACACTGTACTTGGCATGCCTGTCAAATGAAATGAACTGAAGTGAACCATAATACATTCCAATGTTATTCACAATTTACAGATAAATTTAATAATTTGACACAACATGACAAAAAAATAGCCAATTACTTCCATTATTAAATTGTTAATTTGTATATGAAGTAAAATTATGTGACTAAATGTTTACAATAATAATTACTTATATATAATTTACAGATTGTTGAAGAGATTGCTGAAATGGAGAGGAACGTAGCCTCATTGCAGAAAGCAATCAAAGACAAAGAAGCACCGATGAAGGTAGCACAGACAAGACTAGACCACAGGACTTACAGGCCCAATGTAGAACTATGCAGAGATCCTGCACATTTCAAGTAAGTTACCACCTTAACACATTGACTGCCAGACCTTTTTTTTAGGTTCCTTGCCGGGTGCCAGAACAAGTTTTCATGTACAAACATACTTTTATGAAATGGTGTGTGTAATAAATTCGCAGGAAAATATTAGGGGACGAGTAAACTCGTCACAGGCATTGGAAAGGCATTTTTTATTGTCTCAACCAAGTGCGAGTTTTCTCGTCTGCTTTTTGCATGGGTTGATATATCTTCAGAGGGCGCCCCCACTTGTGCAATCAAGTATATACTGCCAGCAAGATAGCACAACAAACATATATCCGTTATTTGTACGTTATTGTCTAGGTTTATCTTCCCCGAACTACCAGCTGTTTGTCGGTGGTTCTTCAGCGTATAACAAAGAAGTAATAAATGCTAGAATGTTACGCCGATTTTGACAAGTACAGTCATCCGTAGCGCCCTCAGTAACCCCCTGTGAAACGAGTATTTAATTTGTTTTTCAGAGTTCGAACACTCTGGTTCACAAACATTCAAAACAAATATTGTCTGAATTAGATGAAATCTTTTCATCTTTCTTATTTTTTACCCTAGTGGTTTGGTCCCCTATTGGCATGGGCGTAGGCTGGGGAGTGCATACACAGCAAATTGTTCCACTATAATGGGTGAAAATACTAAAAATAACTGTTAACTTTACTTTGGAAAAGGGGTTTAGTTCTACATTCTAAGATTTAATTCTGCATTCTCATTTTTTGCACCTCCACATCCCCCAGGCCTAAACCAGCGTATGTCCTTGCTATTGGGTGCATGCCCCATGGCACTCTCCGCGACTACTTCCCCCACCCACCCCCACAACAGCCTTATCCTTGGCACTACTGCTGTGTATTCCAATTTTGAATATGATCACCCATTGAAGATTAAATGTCAACATTTCTCTCCTCTTCCAACAGGATGGTGAATGAAGTCGGCGAGATCCAGAACTCTATCGACCAGCTCAAGCAGAAACTGGCGGAATCACAGTCCAGTCTGAGGGATTTGATGGCAACACGCAGATCTCTGGAACAGGAAATAGCTCTGAAGAAGAACAGCATCTCCATTGACCGCGACAAGTGCCTTAAGTTCAGAACTCGCTACCCAAGCACATCAAAATTAGTTGGCTACCAATAAGCGTTAACAAAATAAAGCAAACCTAAAAAAAAATTGACAAAATGAATGAAACAAAAAAAAACCAAACATTATTCTGAATAATTTTAGAATACCTTGATAAATGAAATCTGGTTGGATCTGGTAAATTATGGTATATTAGCTAATAAATGAATATGATAATCCTATCCGCTTGCATTCTTTTGTTTACACAATGTTGCAATTTATAATTTTATAGGCAAATATTCTAATTTAATTTTAATGTATTAATTATACATAATACAGTATATTATACTGTTGGTTTTTATTCAATTTTTAATACCAAAGATAACAGAAGATAGGCCAGATAGTCCATATAGTGGAATTCCGGTCGAAATCCATTTTGGGGGGGATGGGATCCATAGAGAGCAATTTTAATTTATCTGATCAGTGACACAATATCTTTATAATCAAGGGCGCCGATTGGGTTCGTTTCTTTTCTTGTAGTTTCTCCAATCCGTCAAATTACTCCACACGCAGGAGGGCGGACGTTCTCATCAATTTTAATGCAAACTACGCAAGAGCTTTTGCTCCATATTGGTACAATTTATTTGTTTGTATGTGCTGATGAAAAATACAAGGGACAAAGCAGTACAGAAGGCACAAAAATTGCCTTCTTCTTCTTTTTTATTGTTAAGCACATTGAGGCTTCAGCATAATGTACTTTATCAATTATTATTATTATTATTGTCATTATTATTATTATTATTGTTTATGACAACCTGACCCTCCAGAAACATGATTCACATGATGACCTGATCTCTGCAATACTTGGAATTACCCACTCAAGAAAAAAAAATAGTGTTGCATATATTGCAGTCAGATTTTTTTTTTTTGTGATATGGAATATTGGATGCACGTAACAGTACTGTACTCTATTTAAAATCAAAGGAAAGGTTGTACAGTACTTGCATATGTAATTGAAAATCCACTTTAAATTGTTAACCAGCCTAGAATCATTAAATCATGAATTGAGAGTCCCAGTTTTGAGAAATTTTAAAGCTAAAAATTATATTAATATATTTTCTTTACCAAAGTTGACTACACAAATATAAACTGTGTCTATATAGCTCCTGTGTATGGTTAATGTCAAGGCATTATTCTGGACTGTTTACAGTGCTTATGGCAGTTTATCTCTGTAAGGTAGATATTAAAATGTATATATGATTTAATATTGACTATTAATTTGAATAAATTTGTTATTGATGTATGTTGAATTTGAGGTGTGGACCTTTTTTAATTGTGAAAGATAATTTGTCCAGTCCAATTCAGGTGTGCAATATCTCTATTAAAATGTATACCCCACTACAGTATCAGGGCCATATCCAGAATTACCATGAGGGGGGGGGGGAAGTGGGGTGAAAAAATGGACAACTGTGATCAGGGAAATTTTCTCCCTGCACCGCCACTGTAAAGCAGTAATGGTGGAACAAAATCTGGGACCAGTTTTTTTTGCTCAAACTTTGCTTCACAAATAAAAGAACAACGATAAGGGAACCTAGTCTGCCTGCGACTGACTTGGTACTTTCTACATTGTTTTGATAACTATTTCAGCACACAGACTTCTCAGCAAAATAAAAGAGCACTTTAAGTTGGTTTCTTTTTAATTCACACACTAATTCTCACTCTTTCCATACAATTTTGAAGAAAAACCCTTAATAAGACTCAACAGAATATTTCATTCTTAACAATGTATTAACACTCCAAGAAAAAAAAAAACTAAATAAACCTTAAAAATTAGCAGTTTACTTAGTGATGCAGTGAGGCAAAACATACTGAAGTAATACAGTACAAGTTATTACATGAGAGGAATAAGTAGGCCTGTTGTAAGTAAGTCTTGTTTAATAATAGAAATGAAAATTTGCTATTTTTGTTTTAGTATTAAATACATACACTTCAACTTTATTCTGTAGTTTCTTTGACCAATATATTTCTATGTATTTTTTCACTATTCTGTTTAATTGCGATATAACATTTAACTCGTTTGTGTTTAGTTTTCTTGTTCCTGAGCTCTCCTTCTTTCATCTACCATCCTGTGTTGCTGCTTAGAATAACATCTCCTTGCATTGCCATGAAAGCCAAGTTCTCCATCTAAATTTGAAAAGGAAATACACAATGAGTACAAGAATTATTGAATACTTAGCTGCCTGTGCAATATTATCACATATTGTTTCAAGAGTTATTCCATTATTACTCAATTCAACAAATGAACAAATTTTTACCATCATCTTGGCACTTATTAATAAAATAGTAATAATTCTTTAATTTGTCCTCATTCTAACTGGAAATCAGAAATTGGGGCTGGGCCCCTGGGCACCGACAGCACCACCCTAGTTAACTACAACATAACAGGCTAATACTGCCCATCTCTCTCAATATGAGGGTTATTCGAGGAGCCAAACGATCAAAGTCTAATTAAAACCCGACGATGGCTGGGTTTCAACTGGGTCTTCTGCACAAGATGCAGAAACAATACCTCTCAATCAACTGCTCAGCTTGCATGATACTTACACTTAGTGTAGTAGTTATCTGCAGCTTCCTCATAATCGTCTAAATAGGACCTACAGGCTATTTTGGCACTATGGCCCTGTTCAGCGTAACATCTCCCAACTGTCTTTTTCAATAAAGTCAAAATCTCTTGATCCACCACTCTATAGACAAGATCCAAAGGAATAACTGAACAGCGTAAATTAATTACAGTATATAGTCACTCTTTTCGCAATACATGTGGTAACCAAGGTGTAACAGGTGTACAATAAATGAAGGTAAAACTAATCAAATATTTATGTTAAGGCGAAACTTTTTTTTTTTTTTTGGTGCTTATTATTACCTATATAGATCTACCTGTAGACCTACAGTACTGCAAACATTGTACAGTATGTGGAACTCAATACAAAATTGGCAAGTTTTTTTCCAGGAGTCCCAGGTTAGAAGCCACTTTAAGGAGATAAATGAGCTTCCTTAAACTAAGTCAAATTTATATTACTAAGCATTGTGACAACCATTGTCTGCTCTATTTAAAGAAACATTTGATAATTAAAAAACATGTAAATACTGTATCATGAATTTGTGGAAGATGAGTTAATTTTCATAGATTTTTGCTTGCCAAGGGAGACTAGGTACTCATGTTTTTTATTTATTATATAAATTTTGCATAATATACAGAAAACATTTGACACACCTTTGTACAAAAATTAAAAAAGACAAAACAATGAAGTACAAAAAAAGACAGGTTAGCGGCATGCCAAGAGAGATTAATGGGCTAAGAGCCCGACACCAGAGTGAATTCTCTCTAAACCACTAACCTGAAAAAAAAACAATGAAAAACATAAAGAATTAAAAAATGTAAGTATTAAGTAATATTAAGAGACTAATATTGCAAGTCTATATATACCGTACCTGTCTCTCTGGTACTGACTTTCCGCTTCAAACATGCACACTATGTCATCCTCATTACAATCCCACATCTCAGTAACCCTTGGATACCTTCGATGGTAGTAGTAGATAGGGTTTTTTGCACGTTGCCTTTCAATGAATGCTAAAAGATTAAGAGATAAAATGTATTATAGTAATTGTGAACAGTGGTGGTTGAAACATACTTAAAATAAGAAAATCAATCAAATATTATAACTTAACTTTATTTAACAATTACATGGAAACAGTTGTATGAAGAGAAAATGAAAAAAACAGGTATATATATAGCGCGGGGATTTCTTAAATTGTAACAATTTAAATTAGTATTATCATGATATTTCAACATAACAAGCATGGGTAATGGAAGTTTCTTATGAATAAACCTATACATAAAATTTGCTATTTGAATTTTATGAAGATCATAAATATTGAGTACTTTGAGTTGTTTAAAAAGAGGTACAGATGATTCTCTATAATGAGAATGAGTAATTATTCTGGCAGCACGTCGTTGCAGTATATGTAGCTTTTCTATATTGGTACGGAAGTCAGACGCCCAAATTAAATCACAATACTGGAGGTAAGGAAGAACTAAGGTATTGTAAAGCAATGTTAAAATATTTGATGGGAAAAATAAATTAAGCTTACATATGATACTGATATGATAATATATTGACTGGAAATCTCTTCTCAAAAATTAATCATCTTTTCCAGTCTTAGATTGTAACTATATCATTTCACTAAATTTTATTTCTTAGTCATTGTTTGGCAGAGGTATTAATAATAATAATAAAAAATATCTTGAAAATATTTGTTAAAAATGACAGGCAAACCAATAACAGCTAGCCTATCAGCCAGTAGTATGCAACACTTCACTGCCTTGCTTGGTGGTAAGTAACATATATAGGCCTAGGCCTAGTTTCGTACTAGTAAGGCCAGGCCTAGGCCCTAGGCTAAAAAAAGGGATTATGACCGGTTGAGCCGCCGACAAGATGAGCCACCTGTCATTTCTATGAAATGCCAAGTGCGTCTCTCAGTGAATGTAGTGCGTTAATTGCGGCGTATTTCAAATAACTTATTCATTATTTGTCCTACTACTATTTTTTTCCTTTTCAGAAATCATGAAATGTAAATTTAATATAAATTTAATTATCAATTCAATACAACTTGCACATAATTTTCAATTACACAACTTATACATTTTTATAAATGTTTTATAAACACTTTTGATTCAAATTTTTAATTATAAAACTTATACACTTTTAAAAATATGTTATAAGCAGAAACCAAACGTCAATAAACACATTAAAAATAATCAAGTTATTACATTTTTAACACGATTTTGCAATAATATACAACTTCATTTATTTTTATAAAAATGTAGTACATAAAATAATCAAAATTCTAATTTTCAATTACACAACTTATACATCACGAACGGCAATACGAGCAAATCAACGATTGAGCAAATTAACCATGGAAGATAAAACAAAAATAATTAATAGAGCATTAATAAAACAGTAGTAAGTAAAATTAGTAAAACCAATTTGATTTTAAATAGACAGATGACTATAAACAATAAATTTAAATGTGTTATGCCTATGTTATTATACAGTAATTACTATGGTTTTGTAATTTATATATTTTTATTTTTGTACTATT